TGCCTTCATGCAGCAGCTCCCAGGCACGTGCAGTGGGATCCAGACTGGCCCAGTATCCAGCCCCAGGTTGGGGGAGGTGCCCCAAGAGCCATGTGAGAGCCCCACAGAGGTGTCACTGCATTTTGCTGGTCCTGAGATTTTTGGTATCTGTACCCCCTGCAGGGAGCTTACAAGGACACACAGGCTTCAGTGTTCTCCGCAGTCATCAAATCCCTCCTCTGCTTCCCAAAGGAAAAAAGGAGTCACTGGAAGATCTGTGTCTTTCTGCAGTCTGTGGCTCATGCAGGCAGGGTACAGGCAGCGTGTCTCCTTAACCCTGAGGTTTTAATGCCACTGCAGACCCCTCTCAGCCCCCCCCCAGCAAGGCTGTCTGGGCTTAGTGCCCTGACACATTTTTTCCTCTTGGAGAGAAAAGATGACTGGGCTTGCAAGCTAAAGCTGAGCTCTTGCTCTCTCTCCTGCAGGGCTGGAAGCAGACCTCGACAGGCAGCTCCACGGGCAGCACTTGGCCAAAGCAGTTGTCGTCCAGGCGGTGCGAGGGTTCCTGCAGAGCCCGCAGCCGGGGAAGACTCTGGTCCTCTCCTTCCACGGCTGGTCTGGCACCGGCAAGAACTTTGTGGCCCGGCTGGTGGCCAGTCACCTGTACCGGGATGGGCTGAAGAGCGAGTGTGTCCGGGTGTTCATCTCGCTCTTCCACTTCCCCCATCACACCTACGTGGACTCGTACAAGGTGAGAGCCAACGGCGTGGAGTTGCTGTGGGGACCGTCCTGTGGGCTGGGCTGGGCTGGAGTTCTTTTTCTTCACAGCAGCCCATGTGTTGCTGTTTTGGATTTGTGAGAATAATTTGATTACATTATTTGATTGCATTGATAACACAGGGGTGTTTTGGCTACTGCTGAGCAGTGCTCGCACAGCCTCAGGGCTTTCTCCTTCTACTGCTCTGCCCCTGCAGTCAGTGGGCTGGGGGTGCTCGAGAAGTTGGGAGGGGACACTGACTCCAGCTGCCCAAAGGGATATTCCGTGCCATTTGCCATCATGGTCAGCAATAAAAGCTGAGGGGAAATGGGTTGGGGGTAGGAAGCCATTACTCAGAGACTGGAGATCGGTTTCTTTGTGGTAGGTGTGAGTGGTTGCCTTTGCATCAGTTGTTTTGATTTCTTTCTTCTTCCTATTTCCTTCACTTATTAGACAATCTTTATCTTAGAATCATAGAATCACAGAATGGTTTGGGTTGGAAGGGACCTTAAAGCTCATCCAGTTCCACCCCCTGCCATGGGCAGGGACACCTCCCACCAGCCCAGGTTGCTCAAAGCCTCATCCAGCCTGGCCTTGAACCCCTCCAGGGATGGGGCATCCACAGCTTCTCTGGGCAACCTGGGCCACTGCCTCACTGTAAAATATTTCTTCCTAATATCTAGGCTAAATCTACCCTCTTTCAGCTTAACATGAAAGCATTAATTCAATGCACACAAAACAAGACTGACAATATTAAAAAAAAAAAAAAAAAGCTGTGCACACAAAACAGTTATTTTAAATGAACTATTTTTCTCATTACCTCTCAGACATTTGTTAGTGGTAGGTCTAAAACAATCCAGATTTCCAGATATTCTCTTATCTTGACTCACTCTTTTTCCTGTTTTTGCTCTTCCTGCTCTGTCCTGCCCCGCTGGGTGGGAGGGAAGGAGCAGGCGGCTGTGTGGTGCTGAGCTGGGCTGGCGTTCACCCACGGCTCAGCCCTGCAGGGTGACCTGGTGGCGGTGGCTTCTCACGCTCCTCCCTGCCGCTCTGCAGGCTCAGCTGCAGAAGCAGATCTCCGAGACCATGCAGCTCTGCAAGCAGCCCCTGTTCATCTTTGATGAGGCAGAGAAACTTCATTTTGGCCTCCTGGACACCATCAAGCCCTTCATGGCTCCCTGTGACACCCAGTGCCAGGTGGATCACCGGAGATCCATCTTCCTCTTCCTCAGGTGATTTTTGGGACCCCAAAGGGATGGGGAGGGCAGAAGCAGATCTCCGAGACCATGCAGCTCTGCAAGCAGCCCCTGTTCATCTTTGATGAGGCAGAGAAACTTCATTTTGGCCTCCTGGACACCATCAAGCCCTTCATGGCTCCCTGTGACACCCAGTGCCAGGTGGATCACCGGAGATCCATCTTCCTCTTCCTCAGGTGATTTTTGGGACCCCAAAGGGATGGGGAGGAACAAGGGATGGAGTTTATCCCCTGAGGTGTGTGATACGAGGGGCTCAGGCTGCAGGGGATGGGAAGGAGATGTCTGGCTCCTCCAAGGGGCATTCACCTCCATGGTTAGTTTCGCTTATAGATGCTGGGCATCCTCCCTGGCTACGGGGCATTTGCAGGAGGACCTGAGGTCTGGCTTAGCTGAGACACCCGGGCCAGGGTCTAGGCTTTGAGACAAGGCACCGGTGAGAGAGCTGGCGTGGTGTCACCCTGCCCAACCGAGCAGGGAGGTCCCCTGCTCCAGGGAGCAAAGCTGGGGCTGCAGGTCTCGGTGGGAAGCTCTTGCGCAATGCGGCACTGTTAGCTGGGAGTGGGAGGTGGGGGGTTCCCACTGCCCGGCCCTGGCTGCAGGCCAGGGTGCCATCGCTCTGCGGTGCTGGGAGGGCTGGTCCTGGCATTGGCTCGCCCTGTGGTTGGGTTGGTCCCCTTTCCCACCTAAAGGGAGAAAGGACTTTGGTGTGTGTGTGTGTCCTAGTGTTGTCCCTGACCCAAGAATGGAGGGATGCATCTGGAGGGAGAAGTGGGACATTTGGAGATCACCCAGCTGGTGATACTGGGACCCAGCTGGCTGCAGGGTTTGTGTAGGTGAGAGGTGGAGAAGCACTGAAGGACACAGATCTTACACCCATCTTTCCTCCTGTGTCAGAGGCTCTGGGCCCATTCCCCAAACAGAGGGGAGGCAACATTGAAAAGCTGCCACTGTTGCCCCACCGCTGCCTTGCAGGAGGGAAACAGCTCATACCAATCCTGTCTCACCCAGACACCAGAGATCACCTCCCAGTATCACCGAGCTGGGAGGTGGGCACGTGCCTGAAGTAGCCAGTGAGAAATGCCAAGGAGAAGACAAGCACCTCAGGGCCCCCTTAATTTAGGAGTGACAACGTTCAGCTTTGCTCTGCCAAGAGGTGTTCCTAGAACCTTGAGGTGGGCAGAGCATTTGCCCCAAATGTGGAAACGGTGTTCAGTTCCCATTATGTCTCATGAGGAGTTTGTACCCCATCTCCCACCATCCAGGCAAATGCTCTCCCCTTCAAGCTTGGTGGTTCCCCAGGGAGGTTTCTCTGCCCATGGAGGACCTGCATCTGTGCTGGGTGCTTGTGGAGCTGACCATGTTTCAGCCCTACCTGCGTGGGCCTCCAGCAGGAGCCGTGGTGGTGGGGACCGATTCTCCCTTGTTGCTCAGGGCAGGGTGGGTGTGTTGCTGGTGGTGCTGAGCTGACCGTGTCCTACCTGGCAAGCCGTGCAGGTGCCGGGGGGGACACACACATCAGCCCCTTGGTGCCACCAAGCAGAGAGGAGCGGGGTGAACCGCAGCAGTGTGTCATCCTGGGGGAGGTTTCATCATCCCCGGTGGCAGTGTGACCCAGACCTGCTGTCGGAGGGCTGGCTCTGCCCCAGGGTGGGGATGGGTGGGACCGGCTGTCCTCCCCCAAAGGGGCCATTTCTCTGGTGTCTGGGTGAGACAGGATTGGTATGAGCTGTTTCCCTCCTGCAAGGCAGCGGTGGGGCAACAGTGGCAGCTTTTTAGTTTTGCCTCCCCTCTGTTTAGGGAATGGGCCCAGAGCCTCTGACACAGGAGGAAAGATGGGTGTAAGATCCGTGTCCTTCAGTGCTTCTCCACCTCTCACCTACGCAAACCCTGCAGCCAGCTGGGTCCCAGTATCACCAGCTCACTGGTTGCAGGTCACTTGGGGCTGGAGGCTGTTGTCTGAGGCTGTTGCAAACCCCTCACCGGCGCTCGGGGGCTGCCTGGCCTTGAACTGCTTTCCAAGGCGAGGGGCTGCCCAGGACCTGTGTCCCCCACCAGCGAGCTGCCCCATGGTGGGTGTCCAGAGGTGTCCTTGTGTGGGAACTGTGCCACGTTGTCCCTCGGGCAGCAGGGGCTTTGCCGAGTCCTGGGTTGACACTGGGATCCCTGCCCTGGCCCTTTGCTCCTAGTGGGACTCCGGCCATGGGCTCTGCCCTCCAACGTGGACTTCCAGGGGTGGCTTGTTGAGAGGCTGGTGGGGAGCCAAGCGTCACCTGCGAGGTCGGTGGCATCCCAGCCAGGAGAGGGGACTGAGGGAGATGGAGGATTCTGCTGGCTTCTGGTCCCACCCTCGGGGAGAAGGCAGCTGCCCTGGGGTCTGGGCTGGCAAGACGGAAGATAGCTGTACGGGTGGCTACAGAAAGGGGCTCTTTGGGAAGGAAGCCAGTTCCCCTGCGTGCGGATGTTTCGGTGCTGATCCTGCACAGTCCTTCGTTGCCAGCAGCATTGGTGAGGCCTGGCTGTCGGAAGGCTGCTGGCAGCTCTCAGCAGTTCATCCCTGGTGACACGGTTCAGTGACTTCCCTCTGTCTGCAGCAATCTTGGCGGCAACGCCATCAATGAGGTGGCCCTGGATTTCTGGCGAGCTGGCCGGATGCGGGAGGAGATCTCCATGGAGTTCCTGGAGCGGCG